GTATATGCGAATGCATTCGGACGGCACCAGGTCACCCCAACCGGCATTATGGACCAAGCAGTTACAAAAATGTGGGCCAGTGCCGCTGAATGACTCCGGAAAATTATGATGTCATTGTGCAGAGTCACACGCACAGATTCTGCAGTTCATGTGCAGGGGGGAGCAACATCAGTAGGCAATCATGAGATGTGACCCAGTGAATTGCCTTCCTCACAGCTTGGAGATTAATTGAAAACTAGAGTTATAGAGGATGAATGGGAGATTGTCAAATTTGGGCAGTGGGAAACTATTGAAGCAGAGGGGACGGAGGCCTTTGTGCGAGAACGTTGGCCTCATTTTGAAGAGATTTCATGGGAGATCGGTTATCATGTAAACAGTCTTCCTTCACACCAGACAGTTTTGCACTTGATCTGTATCCCAGGAAAAGTCACCTTCATCCCTACCTCACTAAAATCCACTCAAATGAGGATTTGTCCGTGAATGGGATCCCCAATTCATGCTTGCTAATTCTGTGGATTCTACAAAGCAAGCAAAGATTAGTGAAGTAAGTGAAGAACGGTGGAGGGAAAAGTGACCAGACACAGTATTCAAGCAACCCTTAGGAAGTAACCCTGAAAGTCCTGTTCCAGCTAAGTATGGTAGGAATACACACTCACCACCATTCCTAACAAGCGGAAGTAAAATGGGGAAACTTGAACCAACATTGTCAAAAGAGTTACCGGTATCATAACAATGGTAAGACATTCGGTAATGCCGACCCTAATCTCTCTTCAATTTTTATCAGAAGCGAAGTGCATGAAATGTAATTGTTACGCTCAAAATAGCATTAGGCACACTGTCTTTTTTATTTCCTTTTGCCGTACATCCCGTTTTAATGTCCGTACACAGCGTAACTGATTTTATGTTCTTCGCGCCGAGATACGTTATGTCTTGATTGACCATGAGCTTGAGATTTCGCAGTTGACTTAATGGCTATTCGACTTGGCGAGGAATCCCAACAAACTATTAGCACACCGCAAGCGCCCGGTCCCGGCCCAAAAAAGTTAACCAAGTTTAGCTAGCTAAGTCTGTTGGCTACTGATCAGCTACTTGAACACGTGTACCCACTGCTTTTGTGCGTAAAACGGAATTTTCGACCAAGGTTGTCGAAGACAGCCGGACTTTCTGATAGATATCTGTTTTCGGAAAACAAGATCCACAACGCTTCAAGTAGGTGAAAGTTCCCAGTAAAGGTTATTGGATCTTATCCTTAGAAGCAGCATGTGATCAAGTTTTTTGCTTTTCCCACCAAAATTTCAGATAGCAGTGATAAAAGCATACCAACAAATCATGAAGATAACAAACGGTGGAGAATTCTCAGTTACCCAACCACGGGGAGACCTGAACATCAAGCAACTAAGGGATCCAACTAATCTGACTGATAGATCACAAGAGTGCAAAAGAAATTGTTCCAAACATGCTCCAAGGTTATGACAATCCGAAAATTCGTGCCTGTGCCAAGGCACCGGAAATACTGGACCAATTAGTCATTTGGCTGCGCAGTCACATTAGATCCAACAAGTCACAGGAACCTCAGTGGAATTGTTAAACTCTGGAATCATAACAGAAGCAGCCAAGAAATGTTTGGAAACGGCAGTCCTGTGAATGATCAGATTGAAACTATGGGTGCGATGTGTGGATAACAAGTACGTCGTTTTTGACGAAAAGGGATGTCGAACCCCTCCAAAAACTAATCAACAACTTTTTCACAGCAGCTGAATTCCCGAGAGAAGAAAAGGTCGGCAGAAAACTGGCATCCTTAGATATCATGATCACAAAAAGCGAAGATGGACACACCAAAACCCCGGAGTACAGGACAACAACCCTTACAACCAAAATCCTAAAATGCAATCGCGATTACCCGATGTAACATAAGAAAAGCCTCAAAACAACTCTGTCCGTATGAATGAACACATTAAAGTGCAGAGGAATCAGGGATATCTGGGGAAGTCACGTGCATGAGACCGCTCAAATCAACGACTACCCAAAGAATTTCGTCAACAGAGGCCCCTCCAGACAGTAAACTCAGGCCTGCAGCAGAACTCGACGAGAGAACCGTCCGCCTAAGCATCAACGGTATCTCGAAAACATCACCCAGATTCCTCCATCCACTTGGAGCATCAGCGTCACATAAAGTGAAGTGACAACCATACTACAACATATCCAATCCAAAACAAAAGACCCGATCAAAAAAGAGGGAATGATCAACTCTGTTGACAAAGCTAGTTGTAATAATCGAAAAGATCACTTCATAGTCATTGATGCAGCCCTTAGAGGAACACAAACTGGTTTTCAAGCGCGGTGGCATGAAGTCTCTAGTTTGAATGCACTGTGGCAGCCACAACCTAACATTTGACATAAGGGAATACTGCAGAGTGCAAACTGGAAGGCAAGCCGAGAACTCTTCGTAGTATGACATCCAAGGAAATTTGCTCAACAGCCTCCACGTCGACCTGGCCGTGACATGCCAGCCTTTTTGAAGCAGGGGAAATGCAACAAAAGCGTCGATGTAAAGAACAAGGGAGATAATAAATAAGATTAAGATAACTCATGCACCACTAACAAAACTCCGACACTCAGGATGAAAGAAATTCCTGTCTGCAGTACAATCTGTTCAGCTAGCGGTAGGAGAGCGCCCTCCCCAGTTGGGGTGCGTTAAACAATCAGCACAAAGTATCTTCAAGCACACCCTTTTCTATCAGTCAGATAAAGACGACTTTCACCAATTCGTTCAAACAAAGATGTCGACCAGTCAAAACGAGGTGACAACGTGGTACAAGCAAACAAATGGAATTCAGCTGATTGCGCAGTTGCACGCCGCTCTGAGGAGACCTGAGGCGAGAAGTCAACCAACCAGGTTCCGTATACTTGCATATACTCACCATATGGTGCACCCACGAAAAGTACCGTGTTATAATCATTCATGAGCAGCCGATTACTTCACTTCCTCGGGAGGTCCTGCTGCTTGAACGACTATGCCTAGCATGATGGTAAAGCATTTGCAAACTGAAACCATAGCTCGGGGAACAACTCATCCTGAATTCTGAAACGCGTCATGGAGTCTCTCAACAGCCTGAAACCGTGAATTCATACGGGAGTAAGTGACCCTATCTCAACATTCATCATAAGCTGTAATCTTATTGTGTTCCCGATCCTTATTAGGACATCCATTATGTCGCCGGAAAGTGAGTTTTACCACAGACGATGGAAAGCCAGCTTCACAACATTTTTCTACAAGTTTCCTAACTGGGAGAACCTCAGTAACCGCACGTTTATCGGTGCTAAGCCGGTTCACTCAGCAATTGGAGAAACGTGATTAGAAGCAGTACGCCTGAATACTTAGTCGCAAAAAAAAAACGTCACGGAGTCTTACTACAGATTCCTTGGGAACATGTCTTGTGATACTTGTAATTCAGACACCTTCAACCTACCTGACAGCAGCCCCAAAGCATGCGAAGTCATTATCGTTTGATGCCTCCACATGTGCAAGACGTCCGGCAGGGAGCATAATGGTGTTATTTTTGAAAAGTTGCCCCCTGTCAAAATTTATAGCCATCCGCTTCTTTCCTGAAAACAATTTTATAGTAATTGTGTCCAGATCGCTGGGGTGAACCCAAAGTATATGAAATCCGTAATAAATAAGGAAAAAGCCTTCGCAAACAGTCCCTTCATGCTCTTGAATGCTGGGTTGTAGATGGCTACCTATGTCACCGATATCTGTCATAATAGCAGATTTGCATAAATCGACGTGCACAAATGTAAACCCACCACCACCACCTTACAGACCTGTAGGTGGTCAACAAAAAACAAATAAAACGATGCGTTAAATATTTTATAAATCCTTCTATGGTGCAGTGTACTAATGAGTGGGCAGCCAGAAGTAATCCTGGAAAAAGAGATACTGTTCGAGTGGTGATAAATGGGTGAATTACAAGGTCCGAAGTTGTAGATTTCAATCGGTAAATAAGGGATACAAAGCACCGGCCGTCTGCGGGCGGACACGTGTGTGCTAAAAGACAGCTACTAACGACTTGGCGAAATAGTTTACTATTTTTAAGGATATCTTAGATAGATATTTACTTACTCTAGTCCTGCTAGTATTTTGGTTCCAAGATGTTCGAGAAGTTATCACACCCTTGGCAGAACACAGCAAAAGTAGTAAACGACGGGTTTTAATCAAAAAGTAAGGCTATCATAAACGCGTATAAGTTGTCTAAACAGTCAGAGGGGATATGATCGTGGTGTGTCACAACGCCCACGCTCCTCTTCACCCTAAGCAACCTCTCTTACGCTTTGATCAGAAACACCGCCTTAGAGGTCATACCCTGAGATCAGGGCATGACAAAATACATGGAAGATCCGCGCTAATTTATTTGTAACTAGAGCATATGGACCGTAGAAATCCATACTTTCAGTTAATTTGAGCATCAGTGTAGGGAGCTGTAACAGTTATCACAGCCTCCTACCCTGATGCTTTTAGAGGGGGGTTTGATGCATACGTAGGGTCCCTTGGAAAAGGTGGACAGCACACAAGAAGCCGCCCGTCGTCTTACAAACCACCATATTGAGTTATATATAATTAATCAACTACCTCTGTCCCTTCAGTCTTCTTTGATCTGGAACAATCAGCCGTTCCCAAAACAGAAAGTGTTCCACCAATACAGATGTGTAATAAAAGGTATCGTTTTTTGCTGTTTCTAAAACAAGGATCTAGAAGTTATCGAAGTGAAACTCTTAGCTGTTTCAAGGCTGCGTAGCTATGTACGCATGCAACACCGTAACTTAAATTCAGATACGAATTTGCGACGAATTTCAGTTTCTTTTTCCCGTAACCAAAGAATACGTGAATGTAATGTTTGAAGGTATATTGAATGCTTGGTCGGAGTTTAAGTGTGCTACTGTTTGTTTAGGCATACTCTCTAACCGCATATTAAGTTTGAGTACTTGTGTTTGCGTACGTGATGCTGGGTTCAGGATTGTAAGTTTGCATTTTTCATATCATTTGAGCTCTGATTCTTAGAAATCTCGCAGGTCAATCTTTTCAAAGCGTCTCGTCTGCCGCAAGGTTTGGCGAATCGTCCCCTTATCATCCGAATGCTCCGATTAATGCATACCCACGTTCACTTTTGGAGCATGTTGTCAGCTTGAATATCGACCACCAGCCTGCTTACGTGCGAAATACCGGGATAATTTGTACAATCGGTAGGTGAATAACATAATTCAGCCTGTACAAAATGTTTGATTTAGTTTTTATACTTAGACCTGATAATATAAGGTTATACACTTGTTAGTGCGAACGTAAAAAAACTGACAGTTTGTGATCTCGCTCCTAGTTCTGTCTTAATTCTTGTTGATTAGTTTCCTCCTGCAGTAGGCAAAAATATATGCTTTCCTACCTTTAGTCTTATTATTATGGGTTGGTGATTGTGATTTGTAGTTTGAGTGGGTTAAGGAGCTACAGGTTGCTGGGAAGATTCACGGTCTTTCGTGTCTCTTGTATGTATTAGTGCTTGGCTAGATATTACAAGATAGAGGGAAAGGGTATGTGGGACTTGCACTAAAGGGGAAAATAGTATGGGCATAGTTACTAGAAATTTGGTGGATAATGCAGTAAAGACTCAGTTGTATAGGGGTGTCTGAATTATTCGAAGCATTAGGACTGGTCATTAAATACAGTGTAAGGGACTTCAGCTTTTGAGAATCCTTCTAAGCCACCTCATATCAGGGATAACTGTATGAATTACATACTTGAGGGCAGAATTGAATATCCGTGCTACTAACATATTTACTAAGAGACTTCTTATCCATAGAAGTCCTAGATTTCTTGTCTGGTACTTTAAAATGGTCAAACTCCTACTCAGTTTTTGATACCAATGGTCATTAATCAGAAGGCTCCCCGTCCTCATACTGATCATAGCTACCATCAATATACGGAGGTAGTGATAAACATTCTTGTCTTTTTAGGTTTTGGGACAGGGGTAAGAGCTGTGACCACTACTTACTAAGACAGTTCTGGTATAATTTAAACAATAGAACCTAAGGGATAATTGCTTGCTATTTCCCCAACACGATATCTGAAGTTTAGCGGCGAACAAATACCGCACTTACAATTATTCGTGTGCAACGTGGTACGTGTGTTACTAATACACTTATCAAACTTCATTGACTTCTTTCCTGAGTCTTGTTTATTGGTACATAATCTTCAGTTACATGAATAAGAGGTCAGCCGATCCATTTTAATTCCTTAGTAAAGTATCTTTGTAAATTGAAATTTAGTTTATATTTACCCCCTTGTTTTCTGCAACATAGGTCCAGCTTGTCGTACTGTCGAGATTTTGCAAAATATGATCACAGCCGGGATGAATATCGCCCGCCTAAATTTTTCACATGGTAGTCACGAATACCATGCAGAAACTATTCAGTTAGTTCGAGAAGCTGCTTCAACTTTGAAACCATTCGCACGACCAGTGGGTATTGCCTTGGATACGAAAGGTCCTGAAATTCGCACTGGACTCATTAATGGGGTAAGTATCATTAATTCATGAAATGTTTCCAGTTGCCTGTCGTAAGTCTTTTTCGGGTATGTTCTAATTAGTTATCGTTTTGGTAAGACCTCTGTTGAAACATATGCATTCAGCAACCTAACACGTCCATGCAGTGGGTATTGAGGCGTATGTATGACGCGCTTATGATACAACCTGGCTGCCCCAACCTCAGTAAATGAAATAGTATTCAAACCCGTTACTCAGTGCCTAAACCAGTTCGTCATAGTTCCTTTAGAACTTCTCATGTCAATTTTAGCATCAAACCTTATACTTCCATAAAATTGAGATCAGCACTCAGAAGTCTCAACTATGCTGTCAGTAACTGACCTGACATACCATCCAGTGTGCTGTACCTACAACCTTGAATCTTTGATTCATCTTGGTGAGAGAACGCAACTCCCAGCACAGAAAACAGGTGTTAGAACATTCACCAAGTATATCATACTTGATGATACTTACATAACGTGCCTTTGATATGCGACTCGACGTGTACAATAATAGCGACAACACCTCTTCCAAAAATATGAAAGGACCATTGGTTTGGAAACCTAAGAGTGATTAAATTTTAAAAACAAGTGTCAAAAGTGTTGCTTAGCTGATGCGATGATAGGCAATAAATTATGGCTAGAAGGCCATCTAGATACTAAGTCCGGTGCTGCATAGACACATACTCCAGTGTTTTAGCTCAGGATGATTATAATAATTATTCAGTGTTCTTCAATTTCTGATACCAGGCTAGGTAACTTTGTCACTATTTACTTCTGAAAGAAGTCAAACATCTTGCTTCCAGAGCACAGCTGTAAGCCTAACTGTACGATCGTTTTCATTTCGAAACGGCTTACACGTCTCTGGTCAGACTATAAAATCATTGATTTCATTAATGCGTGTATTTACTATTATTTTAGTCAAACAAACAGTACAAAATGGGTTTCAAGTTCTGCACTATACAAAGTGGAACATTATGATGGTTCATGAAAAAAGTGCGTGAAAAGCAAGAACATAAGTGGGTTATTAAAGCTGCAGCCTCAAAGATATGTTCTTGGAAGCACTTACTACTTCTACTTTTTATCTGTAGAAGAAACAACCAAACCGCACCATTGCCACTGAAATCAATTCTGAGCAGTGTCTGCTATTGTTTTAAGTCACTGAGTTGCATGTTTTCAATTCCATCCAGGGAATCGTGAGGCACCTGCATATGCTAACCCAACTCGACTGTCCATCATCCCAGTGCCACTTCTTACACTGGCCACCTCTGCGCTTCTTCCAACTAGTCCTACGGCAAGCGACTAGTGAGGAGTGTGTGAGTCTTTGGGAGGAAGTACGTAACTTACGTCCGAGACACGGCAACCCTCACATAGTGTTTCCAGCTAAAACGAAGAATCTTGTGGAATAAACAGTGTTTGAACACGGTCGTCGGAGGTCCTTAGGTTGGAGAGGCCAGGTTTCACAGGCACCGCACCGACAAGTTACATACTTGAACTTTCGCAAAAGTTTTTACCCTTACCACGGCTCCAAAAACGACCCACAACGGCGCATGCTACTCTGGCTTTCGATAGAAGATTAGAAGTCTGTCTAGTCACACCTCCACCAGCACTCACATAACTAAGTTCGCAAACTTTTCACAAACTTCCAGTGATGCACTACCAAGGGCGAGGGGAGGTACCGGCTCTTTTCAATCTTGCAGAAATATCACGCACTTCGGTTGGGCCAAGTAAATACCATATTTACAACTACTTAGCTAAGATTTGCATAACCTACATGTGGCAGAGCAACATGGTCAATCACTCTTCCACTTGATAGCAGGTCTGCACCACTACTATGCACTTTCTTTATGGTTCTCTCGAGAATCTCACCGATGGTCATGTTAGCCCTGCCTGTTCCCGCTGTTCATCTGGAGCAAGTGAGAGGAGGCTGTAAGCCTTCATCCTACCTGAGGTGTTGAATTATAGAATTTTCAAGATAATAACAAACTTCTCAATAACACCCATCTCTAGTACAAAATCCCAAAGTACAACGCTGTTCAGTGAATCGAGGGTAGACCCAATGTCGAGAAACCCAACGATTGTTATTGACCTACAGTACATGTGACGGTATGTGGGCATCCGACTGAGGGGGGGGCACGTAATCAATGCATCAATGACGACCGAAACGCAACCCGGTCCTCGCAAACCAGTTCCTCACTCATTTCTCACAGCCTATAAAATCTCATTCCGGTTAGCACTTCTGTTACGTGTAGCAGATTAATAGCCTGATGATCATTACAATGCAATACAGCGTACTTCAGTATCAAAGCTTTTCTGAGTAGTAATCGGTTACCAGCTTTAACGGTACATAAAGTTTTAAAGTGGTTGAATCAGGTATTGCACTGAGTTACAGCATTTTGGAAAAGACTGTCTAGAGATTTATGATGATAAAGACTGGTCATAATTTTAACTAGTGGCAAACAGTTGGACAAAAGAAAAATGCAAATAAAAATAAACTTAAGAATGCTGATGACAAAATTAAAGTTTCATGCGAAAAAATCCGACATAGAGACGAATTGAATGATTGATTGGGAAGTTCACAGTAATTTCGGTTTCTTGTGAGAATATATAGTTAGTGCTTTCAAGTATTCGTTGTTAATTTTGACTCGAATTGTATGTGTTGTGAAACTGCCTGCGCACCTAGACTAAAGTAGATGGTTGTCTTAAGGGATCACTCCCCGAGCTTTCGACGTCTGATTCACAAGGCAGTAGAGCGACTTTTGTTGCTCCATTCCATAGTTATCGGTGATTAAGATCATACGCCATTCCTCCGTTCTGGGTGGAGTGGCTCATGTGGACCACTGGTTTGGATTCAGAACTTTCCAACTCCCGTAGGTGTAATCTCTATATTCATTAATCCGGTCTTAGCAGCGGACGTTCATTTTCGTCTCCCAACTTTTATGGAAACACCCCTGTCATTTGAAGACAGTGGGTAAGACTTCTCTAATAGTGGCTATGAACGCGGACTATATAAGCGCATTTCGAGAGAATGATTGGTATCATTCCGCCGTCGATCATGTCAGGAGGTAAAATTGTAGGTGTAACCCTTTCCAATGCACTAATTTGTACATGCTTGCTAAAACCAATTGCTTTGATATTTCTATCTTTTCTTCTTTGAAAGTGTATTTGCGCAACCTAGTTTATATCACACATTATGTATTTCATTATCCAGAGTGGAACCGCTGAAGTTACTCTTGAAGTTGGACAAAAGATACGTGTGACTACTGATTCTGCATATATGGAAGCATGCAGTGGATCTATCCTATATGTAGATTACCCAAACATCGTTCATGTTCTGTCTGAAGGCTCGAAGATTTTCGTTGACGATGGTTTAATCAGTTTAGTAGTTAACAGCAAAGGTAAGGATTCTACAAGCTTTCCTACGTATATGGTGTAATTTTCTGCTCTTACCTTCATCACTGTTGAATATTCAAAGCCTTTCTAACTGTGATGTTGAAATGTTTGAGTTTAGTATATAAGTTTCGTTTGCCATTTGATGGAAATGACAGCGAAAAACGAAACGCACTCAGCCACCTTGTGCACATCCGTGCAGTAAGCAGTGAGCCAAACCTATTGTGTAAGGGCTAGTGATACTATATGGCTCCCCAAGGCTCGGTAGACGGAGCAGGGTTCAATCCCATTACTCAATGGTTGGTGGTCACCTCCCTAAACCAGTGAGTTACAGCTCCACTCTTTTAATTGTGATCGAAAGAATCATTGGTTATTCCTCACTTATATTCTCTATCCCATTTTCTTTCTGATAAACTGTAGTATTCTTGCTGGTTTCCACTAATAAATGAGTCCCATCTATCGGTGGACAATGGTAACGCACCTTTCTCGTTGCATTCTTAAATTTTGGTTTTGTATTCGCCTGGTTGACCAGTTCACTAGTTACTAGCCCGGGTAAAGAGGGAAGGCTCGGCACAGAGCTAGCAACCCTACCACGTAAAACAAATCTAACCGCTAAACAAACTTCAAAGCACAAACAAAATATAAGAAATGAAGACAAAATTATTCTTCGCTGGAATCGGAGAGGCGAAATGACGCCAGTTGATGAAAGCCTTCAGGAAGCCAATTGGCGGGCCGATGTGTCTTCTCTTCTCTCTATGAAAGCGAAAGTAAACATGGGGACATGGGATGTCCGCACCATGTTTGAACCTGGTAAGGCTACCCGGATTGCAAAGGAGATAAGAGGGTGTCGCATTAAAGTGCTAGGAACTTGCGAAAGCAATTGGAATGGAAATAGACTATCCAAACTGTCAACTGGAGACGAGTCAATAATCTACTCCAATATTGTCACCCAGACGACAACCACCAGCACACTGTGTTTTAAAGTGGCTATCATGATGTCCCCAACAGCATCGAAGGCTCTCATGCAGTGGGAACAATCTCCTGCAGGATCATGACAGCAAGTTTCAACTCAAAAGGAAGGAAGGTCACAATCATACAATGCCAATGCTACGCATCTACAAATAATGCAGAGCAAGAGAAAAAGGAGGAATTCTACAGACATCTGCAATCAACACTGGACAAGACCTCAGTTGGCGATATCAAAATTCTAATGGGTGGGGTGACATGAATGCCAAACTGGGAGCGGACAACCCAGGAAGAGAACCAACCATGGGTCAAGAAACGCTTGGTGAGGTGATGAACGAGAATGGAGAATTGTTTGCAGACTCCTATGCATTCAATGATTTGGTGATTGGAGTCAGGAACTGTGTTCAAGCACAAGGATATCCACAAGTCAGCAACATGGATTTCACCAGACACCAGGACACTCTACACTAAAAATCAGATCGACTTTATCTCAATGTAAAGAAAGTGGAGACGCAAACAGCCTACTTAACACAAGGTCAAGAAGAGGAGCAGATGTAGGTTCAGACCACTCACTGTCTAGTGCAAGGAACCTTCCAAATCAAGTTGAAGGCCTTCAAGGAAGCTGGTGATAGACCACAGTTCAAGTACAACACTCGGAAACTGAAGGACAAAACTACAAAGGAAATCTTCACGTCGGTCAGCCATCAAGACAAAATGGGAGATATCGAGGAACATCCCTGAAGAAACCTGTGTGGAAGAACACTGGAAGTCATTGAAAGAGATGTGGAAAGAAACCTGCACAACCGTATAAGGAAGGAAGAATAAAGAAGACAAGGAATGGATCTTGACGGACACATGGAAACTGATAGAGCAGGGAGAGGAGGATGGTGAAGCAGAAGATGAACCAGTGCAAGGATGCACAACGAGAAGCGGAACTGAGTACAATGTATAAAACACTACACTGGACAAAGAAGTGAAGAAGAGTGCACGCAAAGACAAAAGACACTTCTACGACACACTGGCAAGTGAAGCAGAACAGGCTGCAGGTAGGAGAGACCTGACAACATTGTATCAGCCAGTGTATCAGGCCAGTTCCTTGAGTGGAACCCAGATGGGAAACGACGAGTTGAGCGTTCGAAGGTGACATGGAGGAGATCGTGTGATGAGAGCTTGTGGGCTCTCGTGGAGCCAGATTCAAAAGATTTCAGAGAACAGAGCGCATTGGAGACGTGCTACTGAAGCCCTATGTTACATCAGGAACCCAAGGGACAAATAAATAATAATTTGCTGGTAGTTACTATCAAGGTGAAAACATACCAGTTCTAAGATCAAGTGTTCACATATATTCCTTCCGTAGAATACCTGGATGCTATGTTATGTGAGAATCAAATAACTGAACTAAGTTATTCATTTATTAGCTATTAGAAGTTTATTAATTACTGACTGTGACTTCTCGAGTTCGAATTCCGCTAGCTCACAGTTTCTCAAGTAGCTTAGAACAGCGTTTAAACTCCTGTCTCGGGTAGACTGTGTCACCATCACTGACATAAGTGATTGTTTTGGGCCCAGATAAGTTTCTGGAAACTGGTATTGTAGAGACATGTTACAAATACTGTTAGACTGCGAAATTATTTCTAATTAAGGTATAAAACATTTCAAAAGACGAAAAAACTGCTGTAAAGGATCACATTCCATTTGTGTCATCTACGCCACAGGTGAAACTAAAAAGTACGGCTGAAGATGCACTCAGGTTTGACGATTATTGTTATAAACCCCTTCTAGTTTGAGTGTATTATAGGCAAAACACATCATGTATACTTTGAGCACCGCTCACTTGAGGTTGATGAAAAAACAGTGTAAATCAAAGACTTGGTTTCTGTATTTCGTGTGGATTCGACCATACTAATTCTTACTGTTTTCTTTTACCTTCGATACTAGGTCCTAATTATCTTGAGTGCGAAGTCGAAAACGGTGGAAAGCTTGGGTCTCGAAAAGGGGTTAATCTTCCTGGAGCTCGAGTAGACTTGCCTGCGGTATCGGAAAAAGACAAACAAGACCTCCATTTTGCAGTCGAGCATGGCGTAAGCTTTTCACCAATATTTTATTATTTTCCGGTAGTACAATCAATTCACCCTACCTTTATAGTCACTAGATGAGTTAACCGATTTCAGTATCGAACGTCCTTCCTGGCACACTGACTTTGGGTTGTTTTGCTTCTTTCAACCAGTTTACTTTGTAGTTATATATTTTCTGCTAGTTGTCATTACGTAAAGAGTGGTCAATCAATGTTAGTTTACTCAAATTTTGCATCCTGTTCCTCTAGGATATTAACATATTACTTTATTTTCAGTCCTTTGGAAGTATCTGTTACATATTATCTTTGATACATATGCATCTTTTTCATCGCTTCGGAACACGCCTTGAACTAATTCTTTTTGATATATTCTATCTTAAGGTTGACATGGTGTTTGCTTCTTCATTCGAAATGCGGCTGCTGTACATGAAATTCGTAGTCTTCTGGGTGAAAAAGGTGCCTACATAAAAATCATTGCGAAAATTGAAAACCATGAAGGTGTTCAAAGGTGAGTACTGATATTTAAGTCGAGCATTTGCCGTCGTCATTCTTGTCTATTTTTATTGTGGATCTATCCTGTCCTATTGAATAGTAGTGTCGCTCATTGTCTACGGCCCTTGGTTACAGGTTTGCACTCTGTTCCACTTCCAACTGAGCAACTGAGGGGAATCATAGCTTCCCACGCATCAAATCGCCTAATACACATTCCGTTCTGAATTGGATTGTATTTATTTTTATTCTTATTAGATATCCTATGAACTCCAACCTTCCTAAAATTCAATTTCAGCATCTTATGGGTCGGATACGATTATTGTGTTTTATCATTTGACTATCTGAGATGGCCGTCGTTTGACAGACTAATATTTATACTGGGTGGTGACTGAAAGTGAAATGAAAGTTTGGACCGCGACCGGATTCGAACCAGCGACCACCGGGTTTCTGCCCCGATGCTCTACCAACTGAGTCACGAGGTCTAACTGCTGACTAAATTTTCATTTCACTTCTGTCGTCGGGTAAAAAAAATATTGGACTCAAACCAACTGGTGAAACCTATGCCAAAACTTTCTATTTAGTCACAAAATGCGATAAGCACGTCTCAGCAGGAATTGATGTTAATTACTTTTTGATGATTTAAGACATACTATTGTCATAAAAGCATCTGTAGGCTGGATTGTGGATATTATGGTAGTTGTGTATCTGGAATAAAGCAGAAAACAGTTATTGAAAAATTGTGCACAAGATAAAGCTGTTTTGAGATTGAGTCAGATGTAATTGTATGAGTACTAATAGAGTTTAGCAAAGATCAGTGCTTACTTAACGCACCTGATTTCTTCAAATCTCATTACCTCTTATAATTATAAACATCCAGACCATAGTTGTTATGAATGTCATAGCTTTTTGTCCGTTCTTCCTTCCTCTAGTTACTCTTATACATTTTGAACGTTGATACTATTATGAAAAATAAGTTATGCTGGACAGTATTAAGTAAACTAATATCACACGGCTTTTTCGAAGTTTGTTCGTATCCTTCATCGACACTGTTGTGTGGTGTGGATACACCCTTATGGAACGTTCTACGTTCTCATCTGCCTACTCATCTTGTTGGTGTGATTCTTTTGTCTTTTAGATTTAATGAAATCCTTGAAGTTGTTGATGGAATTATGGTGGCTCGTGGTGATCTTGGGATAGAAATCCCAGCGGAGAAGGTATTTTTAGCACAAAAAATGATGATCGGTCGCTGTAACCAAGTTGGTAAACCTGTAATATGCGCTACACAAATGTTAGAGTCAATGACTACTAAACCCCGTCCAACTCGAGCTGAATCCAGCGATGTTGCTAATGCTGTTCTTGATGGTGCAGACTGTGTCATGCTTTCAGGTGAGTTTATTTTCAGCATATGTAGTTCAAAAGTTAGGTGATAGTGTATTATTCATTGCGAGATGCATCTATGAAAGCTTAGGAACCTAACTTCATTCATTTTCTCGTGAATACAATAAGTAAAGTATAACTGAGAGAGGTTTACCGAGTAATTCCATCTTAGTCTTCTGTTTGTCTTAGACGTAATGATTTTCCTATGGCTTCTGTTTACTTCTATACTAGGTGAAACAGCCAAAGGACTATATCCTCTGGAAACTGTACAAACTATGCATCGTATTTGTGTGCAGGCTGAAGCAGCAATGTTTCATGGACAACTATTTGAAGATTTGAAGATTTCACTATGTGGTCCAACAGGGATGGCTCATACTACAGCTATTGCCGCTGTAGAAGCTGCAAATCGTTGTAACGCTGCTGCTATCATTGTGATTACAACTTCTGGTCGGTAGGTTATCTGTATTTGCCGTTGTTATGTAACTGCCAATTAATTCTAAATGGTCGTTATGTGATTATTTCAAAGTGTAATTCTGTTGGGATGGTGAATAAAATCCAGCATCTAATAATTGTCTAAATCAGTTAATCTGAGTTTAGTAGACATTCAGTAACCTTAATGTTACTGTCATACTTTTAGGTGTGAAAAAATAAATTATTTCTTTTCTTATTCTGTCACAGTAGCCATCAAACCATATCTCATCCAGACCAAAGTCGATGAGGATCATGAAGATATGACTCACTTGTTTGAGCAATCGACCTTCAAACGTTGGGTTCCGGGTTCACTCCACCTACTGCAGCCTGGATAACTAGGTAGTGTCATAAGCCGTCACATATCAAATGTGACTCAGCGTAGCATATAAAACACCAGTACCGTCTTGAGTTAACTATGATGCGAAACAGCTGATTATTTAGTTTGTTCAAGTTGTTGATTCCAAATGCTATTTAGCATTGATGACAAGTTGAATGAAGTCTTTAATGGGTTTTATTTGATAGTTTAAAGAAATCCGGGTTTCATATTCGATTTTTATTGTTTCATTTCCTATATGTAATCCTCATCTCTGTTAATCCTTTTTTTTCAATGTCAGATCATGCCAACTGATCTCACGTCACAGACCTCGCTGTCCAATTCTCGCTGTTACACGTCATGAAGTTACTGCTCGTCAAGCCCATCTTTTTCGTGGTGTTCATCCTTTATTCTATGGTGGTAAGTGATAGTTTCTTTAGCAGTAATTCTCGTTGACATAAAATATTCAATCTCATCAAATGCTGGTATAGTAGCAACAGATTTATTTGGTGTCTTTTTCATCATTTTTTTTAACTTACAGAAGCACGTACTAAGGAATGGGATGAAGATATGGACCGTAGGATTCGTCATGCCATCGATTATGGGCGTAAGCGTTCATTCCTCCCTCCGGGATCCTTTGTGATCATTGTGACCGGTTGGAAAGCGGGTTCTGGTTCAACGAATACACTTCGTGTTGTCAAGCTGGAAGATGCAGAAACTAAACCAATAGTTAAGGTGCCAAGTATCACTCATTTTGATGACTAAACTCTATGCGGGAGATTTCTTGACTTTTATTATGTGGACAACAAAGAAATATACATTCAATTTACTTGTTCTTTCACATTTTGTCAGTCTTCTTAATTCCTTATCACATTTTCCACCTAGTCACGTGTCGTTGCTAACCCTTGAGAAACTGTGCGCCATGTTACCTCTTGTACTACCCTAACCAACTTTCCAACCAAAATTTATGATGTGTTGGTAATTCTTCGAATTTTTATTGATGCGCCTACTCAGTAGAAGGCGTGATCATGTCTATCATAGTGCTCCCATAGTTATAATACTTTAATTCTTTTGTTGGTATATGTGTAACTTATGTACTGAAACCTAGTGTCCCAATCTTGGATTTTCTCTTGAAATCTGATCTTTCCCAAATCATCTTTTTGCATGTAACTGTCATATTAGAAAGGTTATATGCAGTATACTGTCTGGACCACATTTCTTTCTTGTTTCTTTTACTAGTACGCGCCACTTCGTAGTAATAATAGAAATATTCACTTAATTTGGTACTGAAAAAACGAAACTGATATTGGGAACCCAATATCATCTGAAGGCGAGGGATATTTTCCATACAGGACTCTGGCCGATGACTGACACCTTGATGTGGTGACCGAGCTTGCATATCACAACGAGCTGTCTTATCCTCGGGGTCTTACCATGCCAGGAACGTCTGTTGGGTAGTAGTAAGACAAAAAGCAGTTACCCCGATGTGGTATGCATTGCTACACACTGATGGGAGTCTGAGGGCAAAGTCTCACCGCTGCTAGCTCGCCGAGGTGTAAAAGAAGTAAAATGTTTCCCTTAGATGACGAGTAGTGCCACCCTGGTGCTGCCTTCCCAATGAGAAGGGGGGTTGGGAAAGGTCGGCCTCAAAATGAAAACATTTCCATGGTCTTCCGGTGTCGGCGGTATGAGTCCTCTCTATTTGAAAGCAACTTAAACGTAAGTTTACTTTGGGTCTCCGTATCGTTTGCCAGCAGTGTTCGGTAGCGAGAGAGATGGAGAAGGCATCAGCGTTGGGTAACACTCAGCAACTACTTGGGGATATTGAAGATACCGGCAAGAAGACGATGGTGAGTGAAGGCATCACCGAAAAGGATGAGACGCTGTTAACGTCTCAAGATAGGTGGCTAAAATGTGTAGAACACTGAAACACCGTTCAAGTGGTAAACAGCAACGCTTCAGTTGCCCAACATCCAGCCTGAACCCTAACCAAAAATGATACAAAGCAGCAGGACTTGACAGTTTACCACCTAACGTTTTCAAGGATGGAGGTAGGAAATTGATGGTTAGAGTGACGGAGGCACTAGATAGTGTATGGTAATCAGAAGTACTGTCAAACTGCTGTACTTCACTGATCATCCCAATCTATAAGAGGAAGTCTTCATGTGACAAGCATACAGTAATTAGTTTGACTAATATTGTGTCCAAAATCGTAAGGTGCACAGTTATCCGACGCCTAACTGGAGCTCGAAAAAACCGAACAGGTTTCAGACATGGATTAGGGTGCGTCGATCACATTTTTACCCTCCGATAAGTCCTAGGTCATAAATTAGCTTTCCGGCGGCCGACACTTGACATATTTGTTGACCTGAAGTTGGAATATGACTGTCGACCGTGAGGTAGAATATGATGCTCACTAAAACCGTTTACTCGAACTCACGTGTTCGTGTCAGGGGTTACGGAGAGTTGTCGTGTGAGTCGACGACAACCAATGGTATCCGCCAGGGATGTTTGATGTCACCTATTAAACTTCTTTGTAGATTTACCAATCGACATAACCCTAGGTACATTTGACTTCACAATGATTGTTCTGCTCCCTAAAGGTTATCTGGTTGACTTGGAGTGTGCAGACAATATTGTCTTGCTAGGTGTAGGTGCTGACAAAATTCAGTGTCTTGTGAACGCGTTGAACAAATCTGAGTATGTTTGACATGCGTTTCCCTGGCAGCTGTCTAATTTAAGATTATGCTCCAGAACTGGTCTCCTCCTAGTTTAATGATAGGGAGTAAAGTGGTTAAATGTGTCGACCACTTCGCTTATTTGCAGAGCTGCACCAGTTAGAACGGGCTGGTTGCTAACGAAATCTCAGCTCGGATACAGAAGGCTTGTTTGGCGTTCGCCAACTTGCGTCACCTGTGGCGCCGACTGGCTAAATATTCTACTATTTATTAAAGAACGAGTATGACCTGAATGAACTGCGCTGCAGTTCATTCTGTTTTTTCTTATGGCTGTGAGATGACCGTTAAAAGTGGAAGCCACGAAGCGATTACTGGGTTTTGGTCACAGATATCTTCGTAGTATTGCTTACTTTTAGTGGAATAACCGTGCGACAAATGTTGAGGTCAGGTGAATGGTATTAAGCAAGACAGGCAATTCGATTTGTGAGGTTGTGAACCTTCATCGACTGAGATAGCTTGGACATGTGGAGTCACCACCTAATTCAATGCTAGGGGAATTTGGACCAGGTAAGAAGAGAGTGATCAGACCAAGATCTGGCATTAGTCGATGAAATCTCTTACCGTTATTCTGAGTCATGTGCGGCGATGTAGACTGCCGGGTAGGGTCTTCAAAACGGAAGCAAATCAGTAGTTGAGGACTGACTCTTGGTTACATGGCTGAAAATTGGTCATAATGGCACAAATGTATTCACTCCTTGACATCTTCTGAATCTTGAATATTCACACTAACCGTTATTTTCAACTTGCTTATTCTCTCACACTATCTACTCTTTTTCTGTCCGCTCGTTTTTTGTATACTACTGTGAAATGAGGCAACTTCCGCGGATGTACCTACGTGTAAGGTTCTTCGTTGGTTTAGTCGGGATCAGAAATGTATGAAATTTAGTACTGGATAAAGACGGCATATTCCTATCAGCAATGTCCTCTTTGCGTTGCGTCATCTACTTCTTCAGACATAGTATATGTTATGCTGTAAACCTACAGTTTCAATATGCGAAACTCAGGAACTATTAGCAGGCAATGAACCATACCTATTGTGTGAGCTGTTTAAATCTCTGTAGTTGGGTCGAAGTCTCGACCAACTTGCTGAAAGCCAACTGTCTAGACTGACACTCCGCGACTACATTATCTCATTTTCTCTTACAACTCAGACCAATAGCCACTAATTTCATGAACCACTATCACATCTTCCCACATTTACCCTCCACTATTCTGTTCAGCTCTCATTTTGGCTACATAGAGTGAACGGGACCGTGCCGTCTTATTTTTAGAACCCTGCCTATTTCAGGTCGGAAACCAACTCAATACCTGACCTTGAAGTCGTCCAATCTGTTTTTGTTTCACAATCAACGTTTATTTCATCTTTCTACTTCGGACAGTCATGTCCCTTGCTGAAATAATAAACTTGACGAAGAAGGATTACATCATGGTTCATACCTTAGTTGCTATCTCCCTTATTTCATAAATGGTATAATTTTAAGAACAATAACCGGGATACCTCCCATTTTTCGTCTTTGATTAGCCTACTGAGGTTGCTACAGCTATCCGTACTAATCAAGTGTCTAGTTTTCCAGCTTTTCTCATTATTGTTATGCTAATTGTAAAGGCGCACTGTTAAGTTAATAGGTGCGAAACATATTTTTCTCCATTTCACAACTGAGGAGACTGTAGTTTTCATCTAAAAAGAGTAACCTGTGCTAGTTATTATTATTATTAGTCCCTTGGGTTCCTATTGGAACATAGGGCTTCAGTAGCATGTCTCCAGTGAACTCTGAAATCTTCTTAACCTGCCTCCACGACAGCCCACAAGCTCTCATTTCCTCCTCGCATGATCTCCTCCACTCGAGTGCTTGGCCTGACGCGTGATGTCCCCAGTCTGCCTTCTCAGTGTTTGCCCAGTCCATTTCCACTTCCTTGTGCACATTTGTTGGGTGATAGGTTCTTGGTTGGTTCGTCACCAGTCAGCCAGAGTTCCTTGTTGCTTATTCTTATTATTCTGGCCATCTGATCTTCAGTAACGAGCCAGCGTAGGCAGTTGTTGATGAATGTCTCTAGTTTATTGGAAATCCCTTTCGTAACGCACCAAATCTCTCAACTATCACATAGAAGCACTGACTCACTTGACTGACATTAGTGTTGAAAATCCGGATCTTGTTCCACATGCTGAGAGCAGAAGATCTCCACACTGGTTTCAGGTTAATGAACACCTGTCTTGCTTTTCCGATTCTGACTTTGACGTTCTCGTGTGTGCCACCTGTAGTTGAAACAGTGCTTCCTAGATAGGTGAAGGAGGTTACTTCCTTTAAGTTTCTCCCCTTCATGGTGATTGGAGCTTGTTGTTGTTGGAGTTGTTGGTTGGGTATCTTCATCACCTCTATCTTCTCTATATTCACTTGAAGTCCCATCTTCCTTCGCTGCCCTACCTCTTCTGTCAACTTGTTAGTTTTCACCTGTAGATCTTCAAGTTTGTGTGACATCAGGCACAAGTCATCAGCGAAATCCACATCTTCCAGGTTCTTTTCCGCAGTGCAGCCAGTGTATCCCCCCTTCTCTCTCCCCACTGTTGTCTGCTGCATGATCCAGTCCAGTCGACCACAATCAGGAATATCATGGGGATAGTAGGCGGCAACCTTGTTTCACTCCTGTCTTCACTTCACTTCGAAAGCATCAGTGAGCTGAGCTTCCCATTGTGAATTACTTGGCTGGCATGTCGCGTCTTCATATAGTTGTTGAATGAGGCTGATAAATGTTTGTGGTATTCCGTAGTATTGAAGCACTTTCCAAATTACCTCTCGGTTGACGCTGTCAAAGGCCTTCTCAAAGTCGATGAAGTTGAGGTGAGGTAGAGAGTTGACTGTCATTCTATGCTCTGTTCCATGATGATGCGTATTGTAGAGTTGCAATTTGATCGGCACATGATTTGTACTTCCTGAATCCAGCCTGCCGGCCTGTTCTGGTCGTAGTTTTGAATTCAGCGCATCCTTTAGCCTCTCCAGGATGATGCGGCTTAATATTTTGCTTGCATTG